CTGTTATGCACTCGCTGTCTCAGGCTATGTCTTCCTCAGGGCTGATCAAGAGGCTCAGGTCAGTTAATGCCAGAGAACTTTGAAAAAGGTAACAACTTTTATCTTAAGAGATTCCTAGCACAACTCTTACCATGTAGCATTAGCTCAGTAAGTGAAAAATAGCCATTATTTGTATTCTTATTCTTATTTTTTATTTATTTGAATAAGAGCATGAGCTTTGAAGTAAGACAGACTTGAGTTCCCATTTCCTATCTTCATTGAATAGCTGGGTGACTTTTGGCAGGTTACTTAACCTCTCTGAGCCTTTGTTCCCTGAGATGTAAAGTGGGCATTATGTTATAATAAAATTATCAGGGGTTTTATGCTAATTAAATGAGATAGTATATGAAGCCTACCTCTCAGCACAGTGTCTGGCACATGGCAAACAATAAATATTAATGACTTCTCATTGATTATTTTCTCCCGAAGTTCCTCAGATTATTTTCTCACAAATGGGGGACTGTTCCATGAATTTTTTTTTACCAAGAAAACTAATTATAGTTAAATTCTCTAGTTATACTGCATTGACTTAGATACTCCTGTGTACCTAATGACTCTCTATTGCTTTATCTGAAAAAATGGAAATAAAAATTAACTTAGGCTGCCTTCTTTAATTAGATTTCATTTATTCTTGCTAAGTCCCACTAGATCTGTCAGCATGATTTTCTAAGAAAAGGTTTGTGCAATAAATTAATAGTGTAAACAATACTTGAGCAGAGTGCTGAAAATAATTAAGGGAACTATTTCCAAGCATGCTCCAATACTTGCACAGCCCTGTTTAAATGCCGACGCCGAGTCTGAGACCCCGAGCCTCTCCTGCCGTTCACGAACCAGGGCCCGGGCCGGCTGTGCAGCGCGCCCGCGCTCAGGGCGAGCTCCAGGGCCGCTGCGGCCCCGCGTCTCCACGGCCCGCGCGTCTCCACGGCCCGCGCCCGCACAGCGCCCGGCCTCGCGGGGCCCCAGACATGTTTGCGGAAACAGCAGATATGCCCCACGGACTCGTGCCTAGAAACGCTCGGTTATTCTAGATCAAGCGATTAATGAGAGTGTCTGGACATTCCCAAACATCCTGTGGCTCCCTCAAATTCAGCTACCTGCATCATTTTATTCTATAAAATCAGCTCCTCACTCCAGCTTCCTAATCTTTTCCCCTGGCACCGTTATGCTTCCAGGGTCAAAACTTGGAGTGCTCTTTGCTTTCCTCTTCATTCACCCAATCACTCATCCGCTCTCCTGCCACAGCACCTCTGTCTTTGGCGCCTCTCTCAGTCGTCGGCACCCCCAGGCCCCCACCCCCGGCCCTGTCGCCTCTCTCTGCAGTGCTCTCACTCTCTTTAGCAGAACCCCCTCCGGTCTCACAGTGTTTTTATTTCAGATGGTAACACACACTGTTTCTGTCTTCTGAAATTTAAAAAAGTTGAACAGTCCCCAAAGAAATATATAAGGAAAAAGATACTAATTTCCACTCAATTCCTCTCCAATTCCACGTCCTTAAAGGTTATCAGTGTTAACAGTTTGATATGTATCTTTCCATATGCTCCTCTATGCTCTGTTAGAGTGTAATTTCTAAAATACAGGTCATATAGTACATGTAATTCAATGGAGAAAGGATAGTTTTTTTTAAGAAATGGGGCAGGAGGCTGGATGCAGTGGTTCATGCCTGTAATCTCAGCACTGCCAAGAGTTTAAGACCACCCTTGGCAACACAGCAAGACCCTGCCTCTACTAAAAAAAAAAAAATTGGCTGGATGTGGTGGTGGGCACCTGCAGTCCCAGCTACTTGGGGGGCTGAGGTAGGAGGATCACTTGAGCCCAAGAATTTGAGGTTGCAGTAAACTATGATCATACAACTGCACTCCAGCCTAGGCAACAGAGTAAGACTCAGTTTCTAAAAAAAAAGAAAAGAAAAAAGAAACGAAGCAGGAACAAGTGGATATTACAAGGGAAAAATGAACCTCTAAACTTATCTTGTGCTATACATAAAAATGAAAATGAAATAGATCAGAGACCTAAAAGTAAAACTTAACATTTTTAAAAGAAAACATAGGAGTAAATCCTTGTGATGGCAGACAAAGATTTCTTGGAACACAAAAACACTAGGCATAAAATAAATAATTAACAAGTTGGGTTTTATCATCAGAGTTAAAAATGACTCTTTGAAGAGAATACCATTAAGAAAATGAAGACTCAAATTACTGACTTTTGAAAAAATGTTTTATAATACATATATCTAAGAACTTGTGTCAAAAATATATAAAGAACTCTTAAAATTCAACAATAAGAAGATAACCAAACTAAAATAATAGGCAAAAAACTTGGATAGTTCACTAAAGATATTCAAAGACATACAAATATCAAATTGCCAATAAGTTCATGAATAGATGCTCATCATTATGAGCATCTATTTATCTATTTTCATGAAAATGCAAAAAGCACAGTTTTCATGAAAATGCAAATTAAAACCTCAATAGATACATTTTAAGTGGCTAAAATGAAACAGACTGACAATACCAAGTACTGGCAGGGATGTTGAACAATCTCATACATTGCTGGTGGGAGAACTGTTCAGCACTTCCTTAAAAAATTAAACATATGCTTACCATGAGAACCAGCGATTTCTCTCATAGTTACCCAAGAAAAACAAACAAACAAAAAATGTTTGCACTAAGACTTACACACAAATGTTAATATCAGTTTTATATAATAGGCAAATACTGAAAATAACCCAAACATTCATCGACAGGTGATTGTAGTATATTTATACAATAGAATAACACTCAGAAATGGAAAGTGGTGAATTGCTGATGCAGGCAACAGTCTGATGACTCTCAAAATAGTATGCTGAATAAAAGAAGCCAGATACAAAAGAGTACACACTATATAATTCCATTTATATCAAATCCTAAAACAGGCAACGTTATAATAATCTGTAGGGACAGAGAGGCATTCAGTGGTTGCCTGGGACTGCTGGAAGGATAGGAGGAGTAACTGCAGAGGGCACAAAGGAACATTTTTGGGTGATGGAAACGTTTGATATCTTGATTGTGGTGGTCGATGTATGCATTTGTTAAAACTCATTGAATGGTACACATAATAGGCGTATTTTATTGTGTGCTAATTATAATCAATAAAGTCTGTGTGTGTAACGAGAGCATGCTATACGTGTAGTTATGCCTTTTTTTGCTTAACAGTGTATTGTGGACATTGCTCTGGGTCAATGTAGAGACCTAGCCCAGTCTTTTTAATAATGGCATAATATTTTGTAGTATGGATAAATTCTTTTTTATGGACATTTAGAATGTTTTCCTCATAAACAAGGCTGCTATAAACAACTGTATGCATGTTCTTATATGCTAGGGTTTTTATTTTTGAAAGTGTGGATTTTCAAAGGTTACATTGCTGGTTCAAGGGGCTATGGGCATTTAAAATTTTAACAGATGTTGTCAAATCCTTTCTGTAAAGGAAAGACACTGTCATCATATGAGAATATCTGTTTCCCACAACAGCACGGTATATTATGGCTTTTCCCATTATTTTATTGTTTTAGTTTGTATTTCTCTTGCTAGCAGACATGCTGACTACCCTTTTTGTTCTCTTTTATTTTCTTTTGAGGATACTTGGATTTTATTTTCTGTAAATCTCCTGTTCATATCTTTGCTAAATTTTCTGGGGAGTGTTCTTTTTATAAATTCAATTTTTCTGTCAATATCTTAGCAGAGCTCTTTGTGTATTACTTATTTTGTTATCAAGAAATAACTTTTGTCGCCTTTCTTGCCTGTCTTGTTATTTAAGGAACACAATGCAGTCATCGAAGGGACCTCTCTGAAACAACCCTAAGGCAAAGCCCCGCCTGAAACTTATAGACTGTTAAGAGTCATCACAAGAGAATTTTTCACTTTTTGACTTTACATAAATTTCTGATAATTCAGGTATATCTTCACCTAAAAATGAAAACACACAAAGCCGGAGAAGTCAAACACTACATTCAATAGTGCAGTTGCTTCAACGTAGAATGTTGCTCTCTTCCAGAGAGAACCCTAGGCGCGTGGCCCGGCCGGCTGGATCAGCGCGCGGGACCGTCTGTGCACCGGCAGGGGGCCGAGCTCAGCCGTGCACGCTGGGCGTTTCTGGTGCCTCCGGGACTCCAAAGTCCAGCACATCTTTCCCATGTTTCAGCTGGAGGACTGGCAAGCCTCTAAACTTCTTTAATGGCGGCAATTTTTTGGCAGAACATACTCGGACCCGTCAGAGAACCTGGCCGTTTCCGGAGTCGCTGGTCCACAAGATCCCGACGGGCGCGGCCGGCGCCCACGGCTGCAAGAAAGAAGCGCGCGCTTGGAATGCGCGGCTCCCGGGCTGGGAGACTGACCCTCCTCCGCCCAGCGCGGCTCTTCCCTCTCTCACCGCAACGAAAGCTGCAGGGCCTGGTGGGCAGGCTGGACGACCTCGGGCTCAGCACTGACAGGCTGGGCCACTGAGGCACAGGGGCCTGCTCGGCCCCCACCCCACGGAGACGGCGCTCCCGCACCGCCCCTCCCCCACGGAGACAGCAATCCCGCATCGCCCCTCCCCCACGGAGACAGTGCCCCCACCCCTCCCCTCCCCCACGGAGACAGCGCTCCCGCACCGCCCCTCCCCCACGGAGACAGCAATCCCGCACTATCCTGGGAAGGTCCCCTGCGCCCTTCGCCCCTACTTGGGCTGTGCTTGCTCACGGGCGCGCGCGTCCTCCTGGTCCGTGCTGGGCGCTCTTGCACTTGAACTTCGCGAGGATCTGTCTTAGCGTTTATCAGGGTTTCACCGTGTGACCTTTTGGGCATCACTGTCTCTCGTGAGCCGCTGTTTCTTCTCTCTGCCTTGGCGTGTGGCGTCCGCGCGATGACCCCGTCTGACGTCCTCCCCGCTCCCCCCTCGTCCTCCCCGCTCCCCCCTCGTCCTCCCCGCTCCCCCTCGTCCTCCCCGCTCCCCCTCGTCCTCAGTGCGGGCCGAGCATCTCGAGGCAGCCCGTGAAGGCGTTTCAGCAAGTTGTCGGCATGTCCCTGGCTCGTTAGGGTAACACGATTCCGTTGTGAGAACGCTGCGTTCAGACTTAGTAATTCAGACTTGCTGGCTCCCAGTTGTCCTGAGTTCTCGCATCAATCGTTGGGCATTTTTGAGAACCCACCGGTAGCAAGGCGCTCCTACTGCGGAGGGACAAACTGGCAAGAAAAACCCAGAACAAACCCTGCCCCGCAATCCCCCTCCAGAACAGAACCCGCAGTGCGTGGCCTCGTGTGGCTAAAAGTTTGGTGGCATCAAAGAACCACACAGCAGTGCAGACTCCCAGTGGGAGATGCCCGGACGAAGGCCGCATGGTGTTCTGAGAGCCTCGGAGAGGAACCTGCCCAGGTGGGAAGGTGACAGAGGGCTCCCTTAGCAGGCCTTGCTGTGCAGTGGGCTGAGGGAAGCCAGGAGTCGGCGGAGGTGGGGCGGGGAAGGGGCGGAGGGTTCCAGCCACAGGGACGGCTGGCGGGAGGAGGCCACAGCCAGAGAAGGGGAAGAGGTTCCGGAGACCGAAGGGGCTGTATCGTGGGCGAGGCCGACTCGCCAGGTTTGCAGGTTGTGGCTTTTATGGAAGGACTGGAACCCACGACTGGCCCGGGCCAGAACGGCCTGGCTGCGGTGTCCGACGGAGGCCGGGCGGGGGAGGGAGGAGCCCAGCTGGAGGCTGCTGCCAGGCCCAGGCGAGGGATGGTGGATGTTTGTGCTGGGACGCAGGAGAGAAGAGGAGAAGTTTCATGATTAAGAGTCAGCAGGGCTCGGTGGTGTGTGGGCTCCCGAGGTGAGGGAGAGAGGAGTGTGCGCAGGTGCTGAGGTTCTGAGGAGCCGTGGCAGGGTGGATGGTGGCACCATTCGCGGGCATGGGACACTGACAGGGCTCTGGGCCTGAGAGGGGCGAGCATGACCTTGGTTTGGGATATGTCAAGCTCGTAGTGCTTTCTAGACATCTGCAGCAGAACCTGCTAATACTGGCCCATAGCCATCCCCCGTATTCTTTTCGTAAGAAGTCCTCCTGAATTTAGCTGGACAGAAGTCTGCCCAGTTAGAGAAGGCGTTTCCAACCTTCCTTGAATTTAGGTGTGTCCATGAATTAGCGTCTGGCCTGAGGAAAACGAGTGGCTGTGATGTGTGTCGCTTCTGGCTCATGCCTTTATGAGGATGCAGCTTAGGCGGCCCCTGCCCCTGCCCTCCCTCTCTGGTGGGGAGTCTGCAGGTGTGGCATTGGGGTTGGAGGGACCGCCTTGGATCCAGAGCTGGGAGCCTGGCATGGAGCGTGGCAGAGCCCTCGATGGCTCGGCCTGCTGTCGGCAGACTGTGGCTTGAGAGGGAGAGGAGCTTCCACCCTTTCGAAGGCATTTCATTTTTGCTCTCCTTATGCCTTAACTCATACAGTGTCCACGGAGACATGTCGAGTAGGCATTTGGCTATATGAATCTGGAGCTCGGAGGAGAAGTCTGCCAAGGAGGTGTGAATTTGAGAATTCTTGAAATGTAGGAATGCTAAAAGCCAGGCGTGTGGATGAAATTGTCTAAAGGGAGAGATTAGAGCCAAGACGAGGAGTGGTCTGGCATGGAGCCCTGAGCTCACACCTGGAATGGCCGGATTGGGGGAAGGTGAGGGTCGGAAGGAAACTGAAAAGGCTTAGCCAGGGCGGTAGATGGAAACCCAGGGTGGAGCAGACTCACGCAGTCCCTGAGCGGACAGGGAGGGAGCGGTGGGCAGCGCAGAACTCAGACGCTGCCCGGTGGTGAGCTTTGCTGTACGCTGGCCAGCTTGGCCGGCGAGAACTGGGGTGTGCTTGTCAAACGAAGGGCTTGTTTGCCGATGGAGATTGTTATTGCTAATGCAACTGCATAAAAACTGTGCACATCTCTGGCAGGAACACAGAGGATCTAATTATTATTTCTCAGTCCAATTTTTATGATAAATTATCCAGAAACATTAAAAATTGCCAAACTTAGCCTGATGCTTCATATGAAATCCTAAGCAACTCTAAGTGTCTTTGTATCATTTCTATACATTCTAAGCATCCATTTTTTAAAAATTAAAAACATTTTAGTTGTGGTAAAAAAATTACAACATAAAATTTATCATCTTAACCACTTTTTAGTGTATAGCTCAGTAGTGTGAGGTATGTTTACCTAACAGATCTCCAGAAATTTTTATTTTGTAAAACTGAAACTACCCTCTTTAAACAACTTCCCATCATCCCCTCCCCTGCCCCTAGCATTCCCCATTCTATTTTCTGTCCCCACAAATTGACTCTAGGTATCTGATATAAGTGGAATCACATAGATTTGTCCTTTTGTGACTGGCTTGTGTCATTTAGCATAATGTCTCAAGGTTTGTCCATGTTGTAACATGTGTCAGAATGTATATACAATTCTATTTTATGTGTAGACCATACTTTGTTTCTACAAATTCATTTTAAAAGAATTGACCTTCCCAATTCTTATTCCTCTGATAAAGTTTCTTCGGGCCTTGTCTACCTAGAAAGCAAGTAGAAGAGAGATAGCAAATTCAATACTAACTTTCTTCAAGAAAACTGACCCTCTAAATAGGCCCTGGCAAACTTTTTCTAGAAAGTGTTTTTTGGCCTTGTGGGCTGTGCAGCCTCTCTGCCCACTACACAGCCACTCGCGCAACCACGCACCCCGCAGCAGGTCTACCTGTGCCTTGCATTGCTGTAGTTAGTTACATATGTGTTTATGGGTGTTGTCCCTGCTACACTGTGAGCCTTGAAAGCGGGGGCTGATCACCACCCCCCAGGAGCTCCTAGCACCTGGCACGTGACCAAACACACAGTAAGGACTTCACGTATGGCTTATTTCCTTATGTGTCATGTAACTGATGGGTATCCACGATGAGGGAAACATGGTATTTGCCGACTGATTGGCCGACTTCATGTTAAGCTGAGGCGCTGTTCCTAGTGTCAAGTACCTTGGGAAGGAGTTAGGTCACATATTTTCCTGGAGGGCAATTTCCAGCCATATAAAATATTGGCATGTCATTTTGGTCTGCGGCACTTTCTACAATAAGATGTTCTCCACCCAGTGTCTTCTAACAGACTGTCAGGGCTTGGATGTCAATGGGCCAGATCTAAAATAAGAATGTAAGACAATGTGATAGCATCCTGAGGGAGACGGGCACACATGTTCTCAGGATAATGTAAGACTTAATGGCTTATGTATTAGCATAAAAAGAAACGTTTCATCCCTCTTCTTTCTGTTCCTAGTGACTTCCTAGTGACCTCTGGAGCTCCTGAACATGGTTGTGCTTGTAGATCCTTGCCCTGGGCCCCGGCCAGTGGGCAGGGGGCGACCTCCCATCCTTTTCTGCTCTCCAGGCTGCGTGCCCTGTGTGGGCTGCACTTCCTGGAGAGGGTGCCTTTATCTGATTCATACACGGGTGTCTCATGGGCTTGCCATGCCTGGGCTGACTCCTGCCATCCAACTTTTGTATAACTTTTTGTCTGACATATATAATAGCCTCCTACCTAGTCTTTCTGTCTTTGAGTTTTCCATCATATAATCTTTTCCCCAACTACTGCTGGATTAACCTCATCATTCCCTTGTTCAAGTTCAATAATAGCTGATAGGCTCACAATGCATGCAGGTTTCGCAGCCTGAACTCCAAGCCCTTCCCAGGTCTGCCTCTACCTCCCGCCAGACGCCCCATACTTGCTGCACCTGAGCTGGGCACGGGCTGGCCTCCCAGCATTTCGGGGATGGTGATCAGAGTAACAGTGACAAATATTTACTGACTCCTAAATAGGTGCCAGGTATTATGGCAAGAGCTTTGCGTGCCCTATCTCATTGACTGCCTGGAACAACTCTCTGAGAGAGGTTCTACAAACGACATCCTTGCAACCCTGAAGAGGTTGCATGCCCGTCTCCTTTACTAGAACAGCCCTATGACGCAGACTCTACAAAACCATATCGGATGCATCCCCAAGGCTCTTTGTATCTATTTCTTTTATCTTTTACATGCATCATCTCATTTAACTGTCTCAAGGACTCTGTGTGGTACATATTATCATCCTCATTTTTGAGCTGAAAACATCCAGGCTCAGAGATGCTAAGTCATTTCTCAAGGTCACATGGTGAATTAAGGTGGAGCTGGGTCTCAGGCCTCCATTGGTTTGATCCCAAAGGCTGCATCTGACCAGTGGTTCTTAAGAGGAATTACTCAAAAGATCGCTGATCGCTGAGACCTGCTTTAAAATGGGCAGCAATTCCAGAGATTCTGCTTCCATAGATCTGAGGGAAGCCCAGGAAAATGCATTTTTCACAGTTGGGGTGATTCAGCTGCAGGCGTTGTGTGGACCATGCTTTGAGAAACACCATGTCCCGTCTAAGTCTAAGCATTTACCTGTTCCTCTGGCACCCTGCAGCCAGCGTGTCCAGCTGCCTCTGGGTCACGACCGTTGGACCAGCTCATCAGTGTAGAGTGTGAGGCTTCCTTCTTTTTCCTTCCTTATAAATCATAATTCTTTTCATTTTATTTTCTTGCCTTGTTTTAAAACTTTATTTATTTTTAATTAACAATCAAAAATTATATGTATTTATGGGGTGCATTGTGATGTCTTAATGTATGTATACATTGTGAAATGAGTGAATCAAGCTGATTAACATATCCATCACCTCACATAATTATGTCTTTTGTGGTGAGAACATTTAAAATCTACTTTCTCAGCACTTTTCAAATATACAACACATTGTCATTCATTATAGTCATGATGCTGGACCACAGGTCTCCAGGGCTTCCTCCTCCGTCTACCTGAAACTTTGTACTCATTGACCAACATCTCCCCGATCCTCTACTCTCTGTTTCTGTAAATTTGACTTTTTTAGATTCCACATATAAGTGAGATCATGCAGTATTTGTCTTTCTATGCCTGGCTTATTTCATGGAGCATAATGTCCTCCAAATTCATTCATGTTGTCACAAATGAGATACTTCCTTTTTATTTGTTGTAGCAAGAGGAAATGCCTCCATTTCATCCTGAAGAGGCCCTGAAATCTTCAATTTGGATTTAAGAAGCAGAGCACAGACTACTTCACACCATCTGAAATAGCAGCCTGCTTTTTCAAAAAGACAGTGCTTCCCACTCTGATTGTGGAGGTCAAATTGAAATAATTCTCTGAAAGGAGCGTTGAAAGCATTGGTTATACCTTGAGATCAGCTTGGCCAGTGATGGATCTACAAACGCTTCAAAAAGCCTTGATGGTACTGGTCTTTCTGACAAGTTTAACAGAGTGCTAACAGCCAGTGGTGGGCTGGGCGCACCTAAAGCCTCAGTGTTTAGGCTTTAGTTGCACCTAAAGCCTGCATGTTCGAGTCACAGA